AAGTCCAGCTCGCTCGAGAGTCTCCAGACAGCAGTAGCAGAGGTAACTCTGAACGGGGACGTCCCCTTCCACAGGCCTCGCCCTCGTATCATCAGGGGGCGGGGCTGTAACGAAAGCTTCAGAGCAGCCATCGACAAATCCTACGACCGACCGGCCGCCACGGAAGAGGACGACGAGGGCATGGAGACATGTAAGGCATCAAATGGACCATCTTAATGTGACCGTCTTTTCGCAGCATCACAGGTTTGATTCCCACAGTGACCACGCTGTCCCTCTAACCGGGCGGTTCCTTCGCCTACACTGTGTCATGTGAAATGTTATGTGGCATTGCATTGGGTTACTGAAATGATGCCGACTCGCACGAACAGCAATGATGATTCCCAGCAGGGATCATTATTGAAACGGATGAAGTGTCAGTACCTAAAATTTTGAGGTGGCTTTCATGCTTGTGCATGGGAGTGACGGCATTCTGACTAATGCTCAATATCTGGCAGCTGATATTATCACTGCTTGTGGCAATGGCATATGGGTGAGTCAGGATGTAACCTGCACTGTATCAGATATCACAGGGTCACAGTGTCACTAAGGGGCAGCTTATGTGGAGTCGACAGAGGAGCTTCCATCTTTTGGGAAATCTGTTCAAATTTTAAACTGCTATATATAAAAAAAAACAGCTTTTTAATTTATAGTAAAAGTCAAAATGTCTCAAAACCTCTCAAGCATACATTACTTTTTGAGCAGTGTTAAGTCAATTTAGGTAAAGATTACACAGGGTAACCTGATAAACAATCCTCCTTCTTTGCTTTAGTCTTTTTATTCTGTGTAATCATGAACTAAACAATCCAAATATAAGAACTGAGAATGAGACAGCAGTGTAGCTACTGTATCTTTAATCTGATGTGCTGATTGTCCAATGACTCATTAACGATTCAATAACCGCAGTATTGCAAAAGTATGAAGATTATGTAATTTAGGTAGCGTACCACACCATAGTGTCATAAAACTCTACAAATGTGTCGCCGTTCACCATAAATCTGTGTCTAATAGTCTCTAATGGTTTCTGTCTCGTTTTAGAGCAGAGCTCTTTAAGCACTTGTAATATGTATTTAAATTGTATTAGTCTCTTGGTGCTTAGGAGACATAATTGCGCGTTTATGACTTATAGATTTTCATTTATTAAGGTTATTGATTTTCACATGTGCTACAGTCCATCTTAAAACTTACCTGTTCAATGGTTAACACGAACGCTTTCTCCGTTCCTTTCCAATTTTCTTCCCCTGTCGTCTTCTGTTTTTATCGCTCCCTTCCTTTAGTGGAGGAGGACACTGAGGAGAGTTCACGGTCGGGGAGAGACTCTGTGTCAACAGTAGCGGACCAGACGCCGCTGTCGATTACCGAAAAGCCACTGGTCAACGGCACAAACCGCACCAAAGAGGAGAAGAAGAAGGACAAAGACAAGGGAGGGAAGGAAAAGAAGAAGCCAGAGGGAGGGAAGGAGAAGGACAAGGGAAAACCTAAGAAGGGGATGTTGAAGGGACTCGGGGACATGTTCAGGTAAAGTTTTAAAACTTTTGAAGAGAGTAACAGTAACTAATCAAAGACTTTAAGGTTTCATTAAATAGCAATCAGAGCTGGAAGCAGACTAGTCCTCATTAAATTTTACAAAGTTCAGTTTAGTTTTAAAGAAATTTCTGTGCATGCAATGTCAATATTTTTAATATATGCAAACAGATTTAAGCTCGTGAGCTTATAATGCAACTAGGGTCATCTTATGGACTGAATCTGTGTATGTAGTCAGACACACACTTGCATTTTCTTTGTATTATTTTACTATTTTTACTTTTTTGTTCAACTTTGCCTGAGAACAAATTGCAAAACATAATCGCTCAGTTACGGAGGCCCTGAGAGGCCAAATGGACTGCAACTTAAGAAAACAACAGTAATAAGAAAAACGCTGCAAAAGCACACAAAACACAACGGAAATAGGAAAAAACAGATTTCCAAAAGCACAAGGGGAGTGTTTCTGGGGAGGCAATAACCTGACGGACCAGTTGCAGGAACCCAAAACGTGTTTGTTTTATCACGATTCATACAATACTGATGACGGATTTTTAAAACAACTTTATTTATCTCCAAGGGGCATTTAAGATAATAGTTAGGCTAACACACTTGCCTCTCATCTTTTCTTTCCACACAAAACCGATAGATCCTCCACTTCTTTTAAGTGTCTCCCAGCATAATTCTTAGCATATTTTGGTTCCTGCAAGTGGTCCGTTGGGTTATTGTCTCCCCAGAAACACTTCCCTTGTGCTTTTGGAAATTAGTTTTTTCCTATTTCCATTGTGTTTTGTGTGCTTTTGCAGCGTTTTTCTTATTACTGCTGTTTTCTTAAGTTGTAGTCCGTTTGGCCTCTCAGGGCCACCGTACACAGTGTGTTCATATTTTATCTTGAGGTGTTGTAACTTGTGTTTTGCCTTGTGTAGCAGACAAATCTGCCTCCAGCATGTGCGCTTGTCCCCTTAATAAAAGCACGACGGCAGCAGATGATTTTCATTTGGGTGTAAAAACGTCATGTCTTTGAGGGTTGCTGTGTCCTGTACCCCGCCTCCGTAACTTTTTAAGAGTGGAAAAAGAGAGAATCAATATCAGTTCAATATCTGATGTTCAATATCAGAGCTCGTGTCAAAGCCACAGTGATCGATGCTGTGAACAGTTGATACCGCCTCATTAAGTGAGCTTTGTGTTCTGTCTGCCTGCGTGAAGAGCAAGAACCTTAAATCACTCATTATAGGTCTAAACATGGACAAACTGAACTTTGTTTTTTTTATTGTTGTTTTTTAGACAGATGTAACATTTCGCCTCATTTTTGGAACGCTTGGTAGAACTGAAAGACCTGCATAATGGAGACGATTGACAAGCCTGTTATACAACCGTGGCACTGCTAAATAGTCTGAGGAAACCTTAATTAGACTCCCAGACAACTTGACCTTTGTGGTTTATCTCCCTCTAATTAATTTCTTTTCAGCCTCTGATATTACAACTGTTATGCTCTCTTATAGCTAAACAGCACACACAAACGCACTCTCATTAGCGTGTTGTCTACATATTCCCTCCCCTTTCTCTGTCCCAATCCTCATTACTATTGGAGTACAGGTCGTTTGGTCTGCAGGTCTTCTCATCCGATTTGTTGGAAAGCTTTAGATCTTGCCAGTAATTTTATCTGTCTGTGATATTGACCAAAGTGACAGTGACACAGAGTGGGGAAAACAGCGAGTCTATCAGACAGAGTATCAATATTTGATGGGGAGAAATAATGAGGTCCACAGAGATGAGGAGATAACGAAAATATGTGCAAAAGAAGGACGGGGTTTGGAGCAACAGGTAGCGAAAGACAAACGCAATCTTTTGAAATAAAAAGTAGATGAGAGAATAAAAGGAGCTTTAAACTCATGAGGGTGAGGGAAGAAGAGTGGATTATGTGGATTTGAGGGGAATTTTAACAGTGAACATTTATAGATCCAGTTTATAAAATGGAGAACCAAAAATTAATATTAGAATGCTTTCGAAAATTTGTTTTTGCTATCAGTCAACTTAAACAGAAAAATAAATTAAAGATGTGAAAATTCAGATAAATATTTGGTGATACTGCCCTTTAAACAATAAGAGCCTCTTGCTCAGTGTTTCAGGGAGTTTTTGCAGGTAGGCTGGGCTAGTAGTTGTTCTTTTCACTGAGATGGTACTGTAATAACTTGGTATAATTTAAGGTTTAAGCTTATCTTTATTTATCTCAATCTGGGCAGGGCCTAAAACGAGCCATTGTAATCTCTCTTTATGCCAGCTTTGTTCTGATTGGCTGCCCCTTACAAACAGAGGGGCGTGTTCCCGAGATGACCATATTGAGAAAATCCCCTCTCGGTGACATCATACAGAATTAGGAGCAGGAAAGTCTCATATGGAGCTTAAATTAAACTTTAAGCCTTTTTTTGGCCATCATGCTGTCCACTAATACATCCACTGTAACACTACAGAATATAGTTAATGTGATATAATATTTAATCCTCAAAACATAGGAATAAAATGCAAAGTACAGAAAAGGGGGATCAGGGGTTGAGACAGTGCAGTAAGACAATAGTTGCATATAAACACTACATTGTTATACACATCGACAAATACTGTAAATAATCCCACTATATACATTTGACCTAATTAGCTCCAACATACACGTACTTGAAGATATGCATTGCACATGCTGACATGCAGAGGTTTATAGATATGCACAAGCTGCAAATACATGCTGGCTTTTGGATTTAAAGTGACAGGGAAGCTCACGCGTACAATTTTGGTCACAGACAACTGCACACTGCAGTAATCTTCTTTCCTTTCTTACAGATGCACATGCACTCACACAGACTTAGCGCTACTTTCCTTCTTATCCTGCGATATGTTAATGATTGGCGTGTATTGTCAAAGCATCAATGTTATCCTGCTCTGATTGGCTCAATATTGCCCACATCAGATCTGGTCCATTAAAACGCCGTCTGGCTGCCTGTTTGATCCACGCCCAGTGTTTACTGGCCGAGACAGCTGTGTGCCCCAAAATAATGATGTGAGATGCATTCAATCCATCTGTCTGTGTGTGTAATCTGGACCTCATACTAATTTTAAAGGGCACATCCCAGAAAGTTTGGCTTCAGTAAACTTGATATTGAAGCAAGTTCCTGAAGAAGTTCAAATTTTGAGGGGACCAGTTCATTTTATGGATGCAAATTTTTAAGTTTAAACAGTAATTCCTCCAATTTCATCAAAATATAAAATATAAATATATTTAAACTGTTGTGTCTTATAATTCATACTACTGGGCAAGAAAGTATTGTATCCAAGAGGAAAATTAATAAAGTGTATTATTTACATCACAGTTTGTTGTTTATTTAGATAAATGACACTGGTAGAGACCTAATCTGAATATATATCATATCTGAACAGAGCAGGAAAAGCGTACATGTAGCTTTTTTACTAAAAGACACACAAAAAAAATACCACATCCAGATTCCAAAATAAGCATAAAGAGAAAATCCAAAGGAGGAAAAAAAGTCCCATCAACACCCACATTGTGTGACTGAAAGGTGATATGTGGGAGCTACAGTTTAGCGAACACCACAGCAGTGAGCATTTAGCAACAAATATGTTACTAAGAGGGGGAAAAGCATCCGAATTTATGTATGCCATTTGTCAGTGTCAACACGTCGTGATGAAACTTAAGGCAAAGGCTGGCTGTGTGGAGAACAATGGCATAGGTTTTTATAAGTGTGCCCGTGTCACTCTGTGAATTGGGAAGTTTGAGACCAAGAGTGGCTGTACAGCATGTTAAGAGCTCCCGATGAGTGTCATGTGTTTGAGCGAGACAGCGTTTGTGAGTGTCGGGGAGCTTTGATGTGTTAGCATGTAGGAGGAGTGGATCAAGAGAGGGAGGCCCTTAGAAGTTGGAGGACCGTGTGTGTGTCTGTGTACGCACTCGCGCACACGTGTGTGTGATCAACAGAGTTGCCACTGCCTGACCCTCTCATGTCTCGAAGGCCTCACACTCAGTCCCAATCAAAGCATCATTACCATCAGCCTCTGCCAACAGTGCGGCCTGCCAACTGTAGCCCTCCCTCCCCCTTTCTCCCGCTCCTCTCCTCTCTCGCTCTCTGATCATCACTTGGACACAGAAGCAACACCCAGTCTATGGGCTTGGCATCTGCGAACGTGGTCATTGCCCAGAAATTTGAGGGCTACACTAAATTTGCAGTGGTTTTAGTGCATGTTTGTGTGCGAGTAAGCGGAGCAAGCTTAGACTCGGAGATGGCTTGAACAGCGATGAGGAAAGATTAGTCATGGATGAAGGGACGTCAATGCATCGTGCTGTTATTTTGCTGCCCGCAAGATAAAATGCTAATAATTGCGGTCCTTATAGTCGTAGCTGTAATAATATATTTATGTTGAGGTATTGCATGTAGTGCTGGGTGTTCCTGCAACTTAAGACATGGTATTCAATCTTGCAACACTACACCAACAGTGATGCAGCATGAGTGGGCTTAGGAAAGCGGCAGTATTTTCAGTGATTTCACTTTGATTCGATTCTTTATTCTCTTCTTCATTTTCATTGGCTCTGCTTTGAGAGTCACTACCATCGCTAAGCAGAGACATTACATTCATGCAATATTAATTGCATGCTGTGTAGTCAAATGTTTGTGCATGTTGGAGGTATTTACCCTCTTTGTTGTGGCCAGTGTTGGGGTCATTACTCAAAAAAAAAGTAGTTAGACATGTTACACAGAACACTTCGTGATTCTACTTTAGAAACACGAAGACTGCAGCCTGACTGCTCATCACTGCTCTTTTGTTACCTGTTGAAGTTCAGGGTCTGGACGCTGGGCTGGGGTCGGCATTCACTCAGCTTTAGCATCCCTATGGCTAGCTTAGCATTAGCATGCTGTCTGTCCAGGTGCTTATAAAGAGCCAAAGATTCATTAGCTGCATATTAGCAGTTGTTTCTGTCTTAGTTTGCACTTTAA